GTGATGGTGATGGTGGTGATAGAGATGATTTTGATGGTGATGATGGTGATGGTAGTGATGGTGATGATGTTGATGGTGGTGATGGTGATGGTGGTAATGGTGATGATGTTGATGGTGATGATGATAGTGGTTATGGTGATGATGGTGATGGTGGTGATGGTGATGATGTTGATGGTGATGATGTTGATGGTGATGATGGTGGTGATGATGATGATGGTGATGATGGTGATGGTGGTGATGGTGATGGTGGTAATGGTGATGATGTTGATGGTGATGATGATAGTGGTGATGGTGATGGTGGTGATGATAGTGGTTATGGTGATGATGGTGATGGTGGTGATGATGGTGATGATGTTGATGGTGATGATGGTGGTGATGATGGTGATGATGTTGATGGTGATGATGGTGATGGTGGTGATGGTGATGGTGGTAATGGTGATGATGTTGATGGTGATGATGATAGTGGTGATGGTGGTGATGATGATGATGATGTGGTGATGATGGTGATGGTGTGATGATGATGGTGATGATGTTGATGATGGGGATGATGTTGATGGTGATGATGATGGTAGTGATGGTGATGATACTGATGGGTGATGATGATGATGGTGTTGATGGTGTTGATGGTGATGATGGTGATGATGGTGATGATGGTGATGGTGGTGATGGTGGTGATGATGATGGTGATGGTGGTGATGGTGGTGATGATGATGGTGATGGTGGTGACGGTGATGATGATGGTGGTGATGGTGATGATGGTGGTGATATGGTGGTGATGGTGGTGATGATGGTGGTGATGATGATGGTGATGGTGGTGATGATGGTGATGATGATGTGATAATGGTGATGATGATGATGATGGTGATGGTGTGATGATGATGTTGATGATGTTGATGATGGGGATGATATTGATGATGATGATGATGGTAGTGATGGTGATGATGCTGATGGTGGTGATGGTGATGGTGATGGTGGTGATGGTGGTGATGATGATGATGGTGGTGATAGTGATGATGATGGTGGTGATGGTGATGATGGTGATGGTGGTGATGATGGTGATGGTGATGATGATGGTGGTGATGGTGATGATGATGGTGATGGTGGTGATGTTGATGGTGGTGATGGTGATGCTGGTGGTGATGGTCATGATGGTGATGATGATGATGATACCTCTTGTGTTGTGATGATACTTGAGTGACTGTGTGTAAGGGACCTCGCACTGTACTTTGTCTTCTGGGAGGCTCCATAAGAGATATGAAGCTGCACCCCTGAGTGCTGGGGAAAGGAGGAGAATGGAGATTAGCAAAGTCTGGACCATGTAGGGTGGAACTTGAGAGGACTGGCAGGAGGCAGTGAGCTGAGAGAGGGAGGCACAGCCTGAGAGCAAGGCAGGAAGTGGGTGAGGGTTTGCTGCTTTTGGGGACAGTGAGGTCACCGCAGCAGGGGGGGGTGCCTGTCATGATTTGAATTGTATCACACCCAGTCACTGTTCTGTGCAGTATCGATGACTTGGCCCTGGGTGTGTCTCAATTCTGGAGTAACTTTTGAGTTCAGCACTGAATTTCATCCCTGAACTTCTCAGTCTTCACAGTTTGCTACTCTTGTAGTTTTGACATCCTCTTAATGATTAAAAAGCAAGAAAATAGCACTAGTGAGAAAGCACTTCCTTAGCGCGGCTTCTGTCAAAGATCAAAAGCCTGCTGCAAAAGTCCTAAAACACAAACTTGAATTCCTCAGAGTCACATTTATTGTGTTGTATTTAGGAAAGAACAGAAAACAAACAAAAAAAAAGCCTGTGTCATATTGAACTTCAAGATGCAGTTGTGGGTCACGAAATTTAACTGGGAATGTTGGCAAGTGTTATGTACAGAAGTGCTGGCATTTTTGTTTTGCTACCCCTCCCCACCAACAAAACAAAACAAAACAAAACACTGTAACCCTTCTGCCTCAACCTCCCAAGAAGCTGGAATTATAAGCATGTAACTCCACACTGAGCCTAACCACTGGGTTTCACGCTGGTGAAATACAGCTTTCTTTGGACAGTTGTTGAGGTGGCTTCACCAGCATGTTTGCCAACGACCTGCTTCTGTGCTTCTTGCCTAGAGGGAGATGCTAACTTCCCCCAGCTTGTCTAAACATGCACTACCTGGTTCCCTGGAACTACAGGCAAGGTGAAATCTCCATTTTAACCTGTAGGGCCAGGGCATTCGGGCACTTCCAGATGG